GCCTGGTCGGGAAATGTCACGCCCCTTACCATAGCCGCCTGCGAGCTTCAGTGTAAATATTGCGTCAAAATCAAATCAATTTGAGCGCGATTTAAACCCGGATGATTGTAACCACTCTAAGTTTGTATGCCTTGGAAAAGCTAGCGTGTCGCCGACATAGTGATAACACTCGTTGCCTTCTCTAGTGCAGCTCAACCAGGTCTCGTCCCATTCGTCGGTATATTTGTGATATCACAAATCCCGGAAAATATTCGTTGTAGTCCAAACGATTCGTTCGTTGTAGTTTTTGAAAAGGGATTTCTGTTAAATATCTCATTTTGAATTGGACTTTGAGCATTGTAACTTTGCAGACCTTTTTTAATGCTCAAACAGCAACATTACAGACTAACTAAAATTCAAAATGTCTCTTGAAACCTTAGGCTGGTCTATACAGACTTTTTCATTGTCCATGCTGATTTCGCTGTAAAGTCTGTGGCAGTAGATTTAAATATTGTAAAGTGTGTGTACTACACAATGAAATGTGTACCTTTCTTTTGTTAGAAATACCTCTTTGAAGATATTTCCGTTCACTCGATCACCAGTTCTGTGGTGTTGCTTCTGAGGATGTGCTCTGGGCATTGCCCCTCCTCTTTGATACATATTAATACATTCACTCACCTGATTGGCTGCTGCAAGGTTCAGAGGTGTGGCCTGGATACATTAGGTGCACTCAGTGTATATGAAGGTGAGGCTGTGATGAGTAAGCCATATCATAAAAATAAAAGATATCCTTATCAATATACACAATATTTTTGTATAAATTCATTAAATAAATGAGTAGATACATGAAACAACCTGATTAAACAATGTATACGTGTATTTTGTGGTTACATGGGAGATGATGTATGCTAGCAGAAATATCCTTTTAGTTTTGCCCTGGGTTATAGATTCAAATTCTATTACTTTTTTAAAAAATTATAACTATAATTTTAGCATATAATTTATGTTTTTTTGTTACTTTTTTGAAAAATAAAGAAAAAAGTTTAGAGGTCAGTGACAGCCCTGGTTTTGGCATCATTGACCTTGACAGTGATCGGTGTTGATGTTGAATGGTTTTATTATCTGATTAATCTTTCTATATCCAGAAAACCTGGATTTAAGGAAGGACATATTTGGTGTCCTCTTGGACCTTTTACAGAGTCCAGATTCCCATGCCACAGTAAGTATGTGCATATTCGTATACTGTATGTTACTAATATTAGCTGCTTCAGATTTTTTGCCTTCAAAGCTGATTGGTTGTTGAAACACCTTATTTACTTGAAGCTTTCTGTGATTTCCAAGGTCACATTTATTTATTTGTGCCATTTTTTTTCCTAAAATATTATATTGTTTTATAGGAGTAGGTTTCATAGAGTTGACATACATTTTTCATAAGTTTGTAGGTACAGACATCTGTTGTGGCCGTTCTTGGCAGTTTTTATGAGGCTTTTTTAATAGTGTTCATATCGATATCGGAATGATATCGTATCGACCGAAATTAAGAAATATATCGTGATATACATTTTGTCCATATCGCCAACATTTTTTTGCAGACCTCTTTCCTGTATTGGAGAAACGGATGTGTGATTTGCGATGGGAAGTGAGAGACTCCACACTAGAGTTCATCACCCAGCTGACTGCTGCCCTAATCAGTACCACAAGCATATTTATCTCTACGCTTACATTATTTCAATTATTACTTTGCAGACTATTTTAGAGATCATTTTCATTCCTATTATTGTACTTCTTGTCTCTTTCTCCCAGGTAACAGTGGTTTCTCTGAAGCTCTCCACACCAGTGGTATGGTCTCTGTTCTCCTTTCTTCATTGGCAGATGCAGAAGGTTATGTCAGAGCTAGTGCTGTGGCTGCTGTCGGGGAGGCAGTTACTGCTTCTTTCCATCAGACGGTGCTTGCGAGCAATAGCAAACTTCTGGTGAGAAAATTACTCATTGTACATAATTCCAGCTCTTCAAATATGATCTTTAGAATGGTCCTGCATTTTTCTAAAGTGATACTTTTTATGATGGATGGACGCAGTTTATTTTGCTTCAAAATCTCACCACCATTCACTGCCATTAAAGGGGTCATATGATGCGATTTCAAGTTTTCCTTTCTTTTTGGAGTGTTACAAGCTGTTCG